CCCAACCCTGATGTGGCACCATGCAGTATTTGTCCTTTTGTGACTGAGATATTTCACTCAGCATAATGTCCTCCAGGGTCACCCATTTTGAATAATACTGCATGAGTTCCTTGTTTTTCAATGCAGCATAGTATTCCATTGTGGAAATATACCACAGTTTCTCTATCCATTTGTTTGTTGATGGGCACTTGGGTTGTTTCCAACTCCTTGCTATTGTGAACAAAGCCACGATAAACATGCATGTGTATATATCTGCTTGGATGTCGGTTATGGTCTCTTCAGGGTATATTCCCAGGAGTGGAATTGCTGGGTCAAATGGTATCTCTATTTGTGACATTTTGAGGAAGCGCCACACCACTTTCCACAGTGGTTGCACCATTTTATACTTCCACCAACAGTGAATAAGGGTTCCAGTTTCTCCACAACCTCGCCAGCATTAGTTGTTTGCTATTCTGTTAAACTTTGCCATTTTGACCGGGGTGAGATGATATCTCATAATTGTTTTGATTTACATCTCTCTTAGAGCTAGGGATTTTGAATATTTCTTCATGTGCTTGTTGGCCATCTGAATGTCTTCTTTGGTGATGTGTCTGTTCATATCCTATGCCCATTTTTCAATTGAATTATTTACCTTTATCTTGTTGTTGTATCCCTTGATATTCTTACTTACTAAAAAGGAAATGTGTGTTTTCCAAGCTTGGAAGGAGGAGTGGCATCCACTTCCGTAATAGCTTGCCTTCAGAAACCCTATGAACCTGGAGAGAGGATGAGAGATGCCTAAGCGTTGAGGACTCTCCTTCATAGGGTCGCTATGAGTTGCCTGCAACTCGACGGCACTTAACAACAACACAACAACAAATATGTGTTTTCACTATATAAACTTAAAAGAAATCTTAACTCTAATTCCAAATAATCTGTAACTAGAAATAAACTTTGATTCAACTCAAATCTATGGAACAGACATAAATAAACGGAAGATAAAGACTATGTTTAATTATGATTTGAGGCTTTACTGTAAAATGCTGTATTAAAACTTGTTGTTGTTGTTGTTGTTGTGCGTGGAGTCGTAGGAACAAAAGTCCTCGACACTTGTGTGCCTGACTTTCGTCCTTCCTCCAGGTTCACTGGGTTTCCGGAGGCAAACTATTTACAGAAGTGGATGCCACTCCTGCTTCCAAGTACATACACATATTGAAACTACATACACATGTTACAAAAGTGAAATTACATGACACAATTTTTTTCTCTTAATTGCCATTGTAACTCATAATTAAATGCTGTTTTTTTAATAATTTTGACATCAGTTAAGTAACATTCTTTAAATTCTCTTTAAAAGGCCTTTTATTTGAAAGTTCAAAAATAAAAAATTATGAAATCTAAAAAATAGTAAATTTAAGTTTTACAATTTATAGAAGTAAAAAATTATGACATCCTTTCCTTGCAATCAAGATGTTGATTACAGAATAAGCATACTGGGAACCTTTCCTAAACCTCCTTTGCTTAGAAATAAATCTACCTCCTACCATAGAATTTATTTCAACACACAGCGACACTAGAGAACAAGGCAGAGCTGATCAGAGTTTCCAGAGCTGTAAATCTTTATGGAAGCAGGCGGGCTCATGTTCCTCCCACAGAGTGGCTGGCAGGTTCAAATCACTGGCTTTGTGACTTGCAGCCAAATGCTTTAACCACAACACTACCGGAGCTTCTTTTCCTGGCTTGTATGTGGACAAGGAAAATCTTCCAAATTTTACTACTAGCAATTATAATGTAGACATACACAAGGAATCAAGACGCTAGAAAGGGACATTTCTGGTTTGCCCAAGTCCATAATAGTATGCACATGAAGCTCTTGGAAAGCTGCGAGAGTGGTAGGAATAACAAATACACTGAGTCTACACTGTCTGAAGTCAAGCTGTGGTAGGGAACCTCAGGTATCCAACCAATGGCTTGGCGTTTCCTTTCAAAGTATAAGGGCTAAAATCATGCTCCACCGGGAGAGACAAGATTTTCTTTTCCCAAAGTATAAGATCCTTATGCCCATGGACTGTTTAAATGTAGACCTGCCCCAGTGCATGGTGGTGATGGCCACAGTGTGCCTCCAGCTCCAGCGTGTGACTTAAATTAAGGCATGAAGTAACAGACTGCTGTCCAGATGCAAGGTGCTGAAAGGAGCATTCAGTAACGGTGTTTACCTAATCACAACAAAGACCAGGAAGTTAAATCTCCACGGACCTTACATGCACCTCCCAGATTCGCTGTATGTATGAACAAATAAGCCTCCTTTTGGCTTTTTCAGGGCACCTGCTGGTGCCATGCTGCTGGACTCCCTGGCTGAAAACCAGGCTGGGCTTGGTTCTTCAAAGCCACAACTATTTTCTCATGACCAGAATTGAGTCAAAGAGTTTAACTGGCATGGATCATTCACCACCTGCTGTAGAAGCTGGAATCAGGTCATTTTCAGCCCTTTTCTTCTAGCTGAATAAGGGAGGGGAGAAGGCTTATGTTTCATCTGATAATCACTACCGGTCCGGATTCAGAAACACAAAACACTTACTTTTAACGTGGGAAGAATTAAAGGGTGGGAGGGGGAGTAAAGGAAGACAGTAAATAAATACTATAGTCTTCGCAACGAGACACTTCCTTGGGGAGAAAAACAAAGAAACCACGAGGTTCGGAAAGGTCCACCCTTGGGGACTTGGTTCCTTGGCTGCTTCGCCCCAGGAGGTCCAGGGTAGCAAGTCCCGGAAGGCGTTGCGGGTGGAGAAGGGGCAGGACAACAAACCAGTCTGGAGCCCAGTTCGTGGCACTCTGTACCATCCCTTGCCAGAAAGCTCAGTGTCCAGGCACCTGCACCTGTGCCAAGCTCTTAAAAGCCCTGGGATCAAGGGATGCCTGAGGGTGGAACAGAGCGGAGTTCTGCAGCTTGGAGAAGCTGAGATATGTAAACACAAGCAGAAGGCAGAAAGGGCCTAGCGAGCAGGGGCGGCGCATTCCCAGATTTCCCTCAAAAAAGAGATCGCCAAACTGCAGGAAGTGTTTCTCTTCCCTCCCCACCTGGACCCACAATTAGGGGTTAGAGAAGAGCTGATCTCAGCCTTTCCTGACTATGCGCAGTACCAAACCTGTCAAAAGACTCTGTTTCCCCGCCCCACACACCTCTCTCAAGCTTCGGTTTCCCGAGCCCACAGCACAATAGGTGGCGCGGCCTCCGATGCCCAGGCTGCCCGCACGCAAGTCCCCCCCTGCTTGGAGAAGGCTGAGCTCTCAACTCAGCTCGCCTGCAGCCTGGGCACACAAGGCCAAGCCCGCGCACGGGGGAGGACCCCCCCACCCCCCATAGCCCCGCAAGGAGGCAGCATTAGTGCCAATCCTCAGAGCCCCTACTCAGGCCGACAAGCAAAGAGCCCCCGGGCAGAGGCAGGGTGCAGCAGAAGCTCCCGGCGCCGCCACTACTTTCTAGTCGCCCCATCTGCAGCACGGAGGTCCTCACCCGGCTCCAGGGTGCAGAGCAGTCGGGGCGCGGTCCTGGAAATACAGCTGCGCTTCTTGAGCACGTTGCTCAGAATGGTGCCCACACCACCGCCGCCGCTGCCGCCACCACCACCGCCCTGCCTCTTCAGGCATCTTCCCCCGCGCCTCAGGGAGCCGGTCAGCTTGTCCTGCCTCATCCGAGAGCACCCGGGGCTCTAGTGAAGCCACTGTCCGCCTCGGTCCCTGCTGCCCCGCCGGCAGCACAGCTCGGCGCACCAGAGGTCTGAGAGCTGGTCCCCGGGCGGAGGTCCCCAGGCAGAGGTTCCCAGGAGAACCTTCTCTGAGGCGCGCGCTAGAGTTCGGGGTGGGTTGTGGGAGCCACCGAGCACAAGGGAGGCTGGCGGGCATCTGCAGTGCGGAGACTGCACAGCTGAGGCAGGAGAGCGGTCGGGGCGGGGAGGGCGGGCGGAGCAGGCGAGCGAGCGCGGGAGATGGAGGCGGCGCTCCCGCCCCCAGTGCCGGCATCACCGCGCAGGAGGGCGGCCGGCTCCGTGCGTGCCCAGCCCGCCCTCTGCACCTGAGCTGCAAGCTGAGCGCGCAGCCGGGATCCAGATCCGGCCGGTAAGCAACCGGCCCAAGGACTGCAAGGGGTAGCAGAGACTGCTATGCTTCTTCCAATATGTGAAAGGGGTTGGAAGGTGGAATGCGCAGAATGAGATATGAATGCCTACTCCAAGAGGCCTCGGAATGGTCGTTTGTCTGGTGCATGCGACTTTGGCCATGCAGTTATTGTAGTTGTCAGGTGCCATTCAGTCAAGTAGGATTCACAGTGACTCTATGAACGACAGACCTGAACCCTGTCCTATCCTGTGCAATACTCTCAATCTCTAACACACTTGAGCACATTGCTGAAGCCACTGGGTCAAACCATCTCACTGTGGGTTCTTCTCTCTCTCCTGGACCCTTCAACTTTGCAAGCCTGATATATCCTTTTCCAAGGAATAGCTTCTCCTAGCAACATGTCCAAAGAATATGAGACTAAACTTCGCCACCCGCACCTCTAAGAGACACACTGGAAGTTGGTGAAGTGAAAACTTAAACTTTTGCTGTTTGATTAGAGAAGAAAGACCTTTGGAGAAAAGTAGACTCCAAGAAAAAATAAGTGTTCACAATCTAAAAGCAATTTTTTAAAAAAAGTTTCATCTATCTTTCACTCACATTGTGTTTCGTACAAACACAATGTATACAAACTTTGTAAGTGAACTAATATAAAATAAAATTTTATTTTTATTTCTAAAAAAATGATGCTATCACATATAAAAAAAGTTCCATCTCTCAAGCAAGAGACACTTCTACAACTAAGAACTATTCACTTCATTACCATTTAAAAAGTCATTCCTAAAATGACATTCAGCCAATGGAAGGAGAGTGTAGGCAAAAAGAAATACTTGTTCGTGTTTAGAAAAAGAAACACTGGGGAGAAAAAGCCAAATAAGAATACCAGAGAAGAAAAAGTTTGTAGGAGGCAGTTCTGGAATGTTGAGATATTTTTCTTATAACTTGTGTCTGTTTGTTGTGTTAACAATATTAGTAAATTAAAGTAAAAAAAAAAAAGCCTAAATCTTGAAACTGATCTGGAGTGAATATGATTGGAAAAACCAGATGAAGCCATAAGAATGCAGAAGAAAAAAAAAATCTCATGTTGCTTTAGAGAACACAAATGTACAGCAAGGGTGGGAATTCTTCCAAGGGCAACTATCACTGCAAAGAACTCCTAAACATACTCGCTTAAATAGTATTGTTATTAATAATATTGATGTCACTGTTTTTTAACTCTTGAATATACTATAGAGTCAATGTTGTTGTGTACCGTGATGTTGGAACTGACTCATAGCTGACCCTCTGGCAAATTTTAGAGGTAGTTAATCAAACCAGAGGAGATTGCTCATCCTTCTCCCGGAGAAGCTGGTGGCCTTCAACCGCGTACCTTCAGAATTGCAGCACAGCTTCCTGCTACTAGGTGACAAGAGCTCTATATAATCAATTGTTGTTTGTTGTTGTTATGTGCCATCGAGTCGCTTGCAACTCATAGCGAACCTATGTACAATAGCCTTAAACCCTGCTCTATCACTTGCCAGTCTTACTGTCTCTGGCACACCTGTGATAGGTGTGCCATTACCCTAGTGACAGAATCAATCCATCTCATCGAGGGTCTTCCTCTCCTGCGCTGTCCCTCCACCCTACCAAGCATGACATCCCTCTCCAAGGACTTCTCCCTCCTTGCAATATGTCCAAAGTATGTCAAATGAAGCTTCAGAATCCTTGCCTCCAAGGAGCAGCCTGCCTTCATCCTCTCCAGGACGAACTTGTTTGTTCTTCTAGCAGTCCATGTTATATTCAGTACTCTTCTCCAGCACCACAGCTCAGAGGCATCAGCTTTCCTTCTATCATCCCTAGTGATTGTCCAACTCTCTGATGCATAGCAAGTAATGGCAAAGACCATGGCCTGTATCAAACGCACCTTAGGCTCCAGACTGACATCATTGCTCCCCATACCTTAGAGACGTCTCCGACAGTAGACTTTCCCAATGCAATTAATCTTTTAACTTCCTGGCTGCTGGTACCGAGAGTGTTGATTGTAGAGCCAAACAAACCGAAGAGGTCAACAATCTCAATCTCTTCACCATCTATCATGATGCTGCCTATCAGCCAAGTGATGAGAATCTTTGTTTCCTTGATGTTGAGCTTCAATCCATATTGAAGGCTGCGATCCTTGACCTTCTGCAGCAAGTGCTTCAGGTCCTCCTCAGTTTCAGCAAGCAGAGTTGTGTAATCTGCATAACACAGATTGTTGATCAGTCTACTTCCAATCCTGATGCCAGACTTCTTCTCATACAGCCCAGCCTCCCCAATAATCTGTGCTGCATATAGATTGAAGAGATATGGAGATAGGGCACATCACTGACGCACACCCTTGCCAGTTTTGAACCATGAAGTGTTTCCTTGCTTTGTTCTGACGACTGCCTCCTGATCCAATTATAAGTTTTGCATAAGCACAATCAAGTGTTCTAGGATTCCCATTCTTCTCAAAGTCAGCCACAATTTGTTGTGATCCACAGTCAAATGCCTTTGCATAGACAATGAAACACAGATAGACATTCCTCTGGTACTCTCTGCTTTCAGCCAAGATCCATCTGACCTTAGCTATAATATCCCTAGTGCCATGGCCTCTTCTAAACCCATCCTGCACTTCAGGCAGTTCTCTGTTGATGCGTTTTTGGATGATCTTCAGCAGAATCTTGCTTGTGTGTGATATCAATGTATATAGTCAATAGGATTTTAAAAAAGTATATAGGATAAAACAAAAGCATAGCAGTGTTAATACTGAATCAAGTTGTTACAGTATACCATAATACCAGTATATAATGAAAGAAGATACATTTTAAAAATTGTGCATTCATGTATTTACATTTGAAGCAATAATATGAATTCATCTTTCTTTTCAAAAATGCTATTGTCAGTTGTTGCTAGGTGCTGTTGAGTATGACTTATAGTGACTCTATGATCAACAGTCTTATCCTGTGCCAACATCACAATCTCTTACACATTTGAGCCCACAGCTACACTAACTATATGAGCCCACTTATTTGATGGTCTTCCTCTTCTTCGCCATCTCTCTACTTTTCCAAACATGATGTCCTTTACCAAGGAATAGCCTTGGATTATGCCCATAGCAACATGCTCAAAGTATGTGAGACAAAGCTTTGTCATCCTTGCCTCCAAGAAGCACTCTGACTGCACCTTCTCCAAGACATATATATTCATTCTTTACACAGCCCATGAGCTATTCTGCACTCTTCTCCAACATCCCAGCACAAAATCATCAATTCTTCTTTTGTTATCCTTATTCAATGTCCAGCTCTTAGCAGCATAGCAAGTGACTGAAAAGACCATAGTCTGACAGCATGGTATTGGTACAATGACAGACACATAGATCAATGGAAAAGAATTGAGAACCCGGAAATCAGCCCATCTATTTATGTTCAACTGATTTTTGACAAGGAGATGAAATCAGGTAGGTGGGGAAATGACAGCCTTTGTAACAAATGGTGTTGGCAAAACTGGAAAACTATCTGCAGAAGAATTAAACAAGATTCACACCTCACTCCATATACAAAAACCAACTCAAGGTGGATCATGGACCTAGGACTAAAACTAAGGACTATAACCTATCCACAACATAAACAGTCTTCCAAGTATCCTGAAAAATTTGCAACCAGGAGAAGATAAAATAGATGAATG